CTAATGATAATCTATATAAAGTCAATGTTCATTTTATAATTGATGTTTCGCAAACGACAGCTAATAGTACCAATATAACTGGGTTTTGGACCAAATCTAATGTCGTATGAATCATAAGTGCTATTTGCAAAGCCACGCCCAGACAATGAAAGTTTACTTCAAAATCAGGATATTATTTTTTAAGATGGTAGACGCGTATAACGACTAGTAACGTCTTTAAAAAGGATTATATACTATTGTAGAACCTTAATAAATATCATTATCATAAAAATTAGAATTTCAATKATAAAACTATTAAATATTTACAAAAAATAATATATAAAATTATAAAGTATTCTAAGTATATATTGAAGAACAAATAAACTATGTTCACAAAGATCAGTGATTTCCTATTCGCAGTTTTATGGTGAAAGGGTCAAAGTTTTTCGACTGAAGAATATATTGCTATTAAAAAGAGTTTTATGAACAGCTATGGGTCTCAAGGTTTGACTGTTTCTCGTCAGCTTGTAAAAATTGATGGCAAAGTTGATAGTACACTTTGTGTAGATGTTTACGTTCAAAGTCTAACAGTGTACTAATAAGTTCGGGCTTCCCTAACACTTCTTTTACTCGTGTACAAACAGGGATTAAAAACCAAGCAACGGCTTTTAAACTTTCAATTATTGGATGCTTTTTGTCTTATTTTATTCAATTATACAATCCCCTGGGGAGATAGCGTTTGTACTTTCGGATGATTTCGTAATCATACTTCTAGAAAAAANAAAAAAAAAAAAAAGAAAAGAAAAAGAAACCAATACTTGCAAAATACTCTAACTGTATTTTGTTCTGATTTTACCACTCCTTTCTTTGGTCGATAAGTATTGGGTAAAAGTCGTCAACAACGCATAATCTGGTTCGAGAGGCAGGGTTATGTCCCATATGTAAATGTATGTAATCATAATAAAACAGAGAATCCTTTGCTGATTGAGCTGTCTTTTGTCATAAAAGCCTTGTCATGGTATCTAAGTTATCAATTTGTTTTGYTTTGATCAATTCTTTTTACAGTACATGACATTTTAATAGGAAAAAGCCCCATCTAGACTTTAACATATTTCCACTTTTTTCCTCTTTTCTTTGCAACCTCATAAATTGCCTGTTTTACTGTGTCATTCAATCATTTCTGATTCATTTGGGGGGAAACGAGGCTGATTATCCGGCTTTCTTACTCTAGTTATATGACTTATATGGCTTGACCATGCAGTGCATTATTAATTAACCACCCCGTCAGGGAGCCTCAAACACTTGTCTCTTTTAGCCACTTACTTTTATCTCTATCAATTCTATCGCTGGGAGACCATTTATAACTTTATTTGCTCTAAAAAAATAGAATTTGCCATAAGTAAAGCTTGGAACGTTTTTTTATCCATAAGTTCAAAAGTTCATAGCATGATAGGACCGTAAGCAGTTCTATAGTGACAGCTTWAAAAGTGATTTAATAAATTAAGAATGATCAGTGCAGATGTGTTTTGACCAAACTCACAGGCCATAGCAGAGTTACTTAGAATACACTCGACACCAGACATAGCGACTGTATGAACAAGTTCTACGGCCAGGTCCGACTGAAACTGAGTCCAAGTTACCTGAAGCAGGCTTTTTATCTTATAGTCGCTAGAAAGGCCACCCTATCGCATCTTCTAGTCATGTTTATCGTTCTATTAGGAATACCGCAAAAAAACGTTTGGGTCAAAAGAGGCCAAAAGATCGTAGTTTTCATTTCCTACTACTAAATGGTTCGAAAATGAATCAAAACCCAAAATAAACATTACAATACCACATTCAGTAAAAAGTGTTTTTAGGTTGTCTTGAATGCTTTGAGGTCAAAATTGTTCATGAAATTGTTCAAAATTGTTCACGATATAATCYAGTAATCCTGTTAATTGAGTTCAACTCTCTTGGAACAACAGTGGTTTGCGTCAGTGCGCTGTACCGTTACATTGCATCTGTAGACTATAGAGTTTACGGCTGGTTGTGCTCAACTAATTGATCCAAGCGAGAAAAACATGCTATGCCATCCCACACGCTTTTGTCATCAATGCCGTTATACATTCCTAAACATTGACGCATTCAAAATCTACTTTTAAAAGGAGTGGGATTTGAAGACGATTTTCCTTTCGTGATCTAACCGATAATGTACTTGAAAATTCTCACAGGGGACTAAACATGCAACCCCAAAAGAAAAACAGTAACTTGTCCTTGGCTCTGAGTCAAAAAATCTGCTTCTTTGATATGTTAATAGAACTTAGAAACCTCTTTTGTCAAAATAAAGCCCCTTCAGTTGGAGAATTTGTATGCATGAACAGTTTTACACGGTATGAAAATTAAAGATCTTAAGCCGACCTTAAAAACTCGATCTAAACCCGACTCAGCACAAGAACTAGTATGACTAGAATAAGCTTCGATTTGCAAGAGGCTCAATTTTTTGGCGTATTTCATTTGATTAATCTAAAAGGGAGAGACTCAGTTTGCTCGATCGGAAAGCGGAAAAAACTTAAACACGTAAAACTCTTCGGGGGGCGTGGCTTGGGTCAAAAGGCCGAATATATTATGTTTTATTGAGAATGCGTTATTACTGATGTGAAGATTAAGGGGTCGTAGTTAAGGACAACTAACGAGGGGAATTTAGCATGACTAAATTTCTCAGCTGACTTTACCAAAAAATAAATAAATTTATTAAAATTTGCCCCTGGATAACGAAAAGAAATAGCATGAAATGTAATGATTTTTTTCTCGCTGAAAATAAAATTACCTGAAATCTGTGTAAGAAATATTTGTCGGTCTAATATACTTTATGAAAGCTTTCTTGATAACCTTGATAGCTGGAGTGCAATCAAGCAGGGATTTACTTTCGACATAGAGCAGCGCGTATGTGAACAGTATTCTTCCACGAAAGATTAATCAAGACTGCAAGACAATTAGTCAATATTTATAAATGGTAGCGAAAGCTTGTGACTCGAAACTTTTAGAAAATATATTTGGTGTTTTTCGTGCGTTGCTGGAGTCTTCCATTGTTTTACTTTTTTTATGCTTGGACGGTATTTGAGCGTCTGTTAGCATGCTAATGAGCTGGAGTAAAAGTTAGTCTTATTTGGTATGCTTGGCTGCATGTAAAGTTCAAAACAACATCATATTCGTACAACAGAAAAACCTCACGATAAAATACTATCCTTATATCTTGGAGTCCTTATTTTGTCACGAATCATCAAACTTAATCTTTCGCAAAATGAAAACACTTGATGATCCGACAACTTTCCTCAAAAAGCCAGCATTTTAGATTGTAAAGCCGCGAGATATTTGAAACGACTGACGCAATTCAATCTAAATAACTAAATAAACCAATCTTGAATTCTTAGACTCATTCCATTATTTTCTACAACGAACCAGTAGCAAATATACTCTTCTTTATCGTCCTATCATTTTAAGGAAAAAGTTTAACAAACTTTCCTCAATTTTCGTTTATCAAATTCTCGAGATCAACAAGTTGTTGATCATAGTGTGAAACTCATCTTTTATGCATTAAGTTTAAATTTAGAAGCAGTTTAAAATGTTGTGGGAACAGAAAAATCATTAATATTGAACTTCATCATGCGCTAGACAAAATATAATGCAACTATCCTTAGAATAACCTAGAAAATTCTAGTTAATGTTGTTTAATAATTCTTCATTAAAAAACACTTTGATTTGTGGCTGTAGGAGAACGTTAGTGTAAAAGATAACCTCGTTTTAAGAAGGAAGTAATTTTTTTTCCACATCCACTATTATTTTGAATAAAAGCAGTTTTTTTCACCATTTCCCATTGACTAGTGAACATTGTGTTTTCTCATTTGTCGCACCGCAGTTTTGTCATTTTTTTCTTTTCAACATCAACATCTCTATCTTATTTATTTGGTAAAATAGATATCGCATCAAGTTGCTTCCCTCCCGTAAAATCAAACAAGAAATCTTGATAAAAATCGTATTTGAATTTTTTTCACGAAAACCATAGCGAAAGTTTGAAGAAGTTTTCGACCTTTTGTTGGTATCCAAGGAAAACCATTCGAAAGTGTTTGAAATGACACGAAGGGGTCACGTCATTGTTTAATATTGATTGATAGGAAAGTCAAACACAAAGTAGATATCTTATTATTAAACCAAGGCAAACACTTTGAATGCCTTTCTTATTGGCAAACTATTCAGAATTCCATTTTTGCGGTCTACGGTCAGGCTACATTTATAACTATTCTTACATTGCAAACATTAGAGAGTTACACTTGACAGACTTTGAGGGAATTCGTAGAAGATTTGATTTCGTTTGGAAAAATGTCCAAAGGTTTTTCCTGTCTTACAATTGTAAGTCAAAACTGTGTTCAAGGCGACCTAACGCCGGTATCTTATTTTCTTTACGAAGGCGATCGATATAACTTTTGCTTCGAAATATTGACGCCAAAGTGAATTCTCGCTTCATCGGAGGTCAAATCCGTTTTTTCCCCCACGTGGTTTGTTTATGGTAATTGCGTTAAGACGAAACGTTCAGAAAAATTTATTCTACAGCCGAAAATTCCCATAAAGAATTATTAAACAATACGTGTGTTAAGTTCTTCTAAGAGATAATATATAAGGGGGAGACAAAATTGCAAARACAGAAAACATTTCTAAACGTTGCAAGATTACTGAGTTATTAGTTCTTGTCTTTTAATGATTTCCGGCGAATGCTTTCATCGACTAATAACTAGCATGCTTTTCTTCTGGAGAAAAATCACCTAAAATTTGTAAAAGAACAAGAGACCACGAGATTTGGGAACTGAAATTCTAAACCTCAGGGAAATGTTCCAAGAAATTCGAGCTTTATCTGAGAAGCTTGTGGGGTACGGAGGCGGGGAGTTACAACAACTCATGAAAATTGCATAAGCCTGACGTCACTATTGGAATTCTCCCGTTGAATGGTCAGCAGCAGTGAACTGCAAGTCCGTGCATCTAATATAGGAATGCGTAGCGCGTTGACTGAGCATTCGGTGAACTCCGCGCGTCAAGAGAACAAGGAGAAGGKGTGTATTGATTTTGGGAATTACCTACCACCCGAGGGATGCCGAGAGCTTTCTTGATCAGGAGCAGGAGTGCCTTTCCTACTCAAAACTCAAAAAAGGAAAACCTCCCCGAAGTTCAAGATGAAAATAACAGAAATGCACAGTCGACAGGAATTTCAGAGCATTTTAAGCAAGGTAAACTTTGGTTATTTACTCTTTATAATTTTCCTGAATTTCCGCAAGGAAAACGAGAGAAAAGTTCACATTTCTCTTCTTAATCTAGTGTAAAAACAGATATACTCTAGCTTAGATTTTCCTTCGAGTTTGGCGAGACACTTCAACACATTTTTCACGTGGAAATTTGCTTGAAATTACTTCTGATAAAGTTTACACAAACTACTCATAAATTTCCTAAACTTTGAATTTCTTGTAAATCCTATCTTCTGAGCTTCAAAAGACGATTCAAAGTTTTAGATTCTTTACTTCTCATTTATATCTCCAATCAGTTTACAGTAAGATTTCTCTGTGTTTAGGGTTTAAAACAATTTCTGATTTTTAGAAAGAAGCGAAAACCCAATTTACACTTCGCTAAATTGCGCGCTTTGGCCAGTTCGACAAAGTCCTCATCTAACTTATTTTTGAGCTTAAAGATAATCAAAGTATTCTGAAAAATAAGGGGTTTTTGAAAATATTTCCTGCCATGTGCAAATTTTCCCGGTATATTTTATATCCTCCAACGGTATTTCTATTTTCGGTTTCAGATTTTTCTAGTGTTGCCTATGCGATTCCAACAACTTCAGTAGATCACATTACACCCGCCGATGATGATGTTGACAGGAGAGTATACGCTGGACATATGCGAGAACTCGAACGATCAAACAGTGAAGACGAAAAGCAAGRATTTAGCCGTTCATCGCTCGAGATACCAAAATACCGAGTCATCAACACGAAAATAAACCAAGGAGGCAGAAAAAAGTCTAAACGCGCTTTAGAGACACAACCAGGAGATTTAACAGACAATTATGTCCCCAAGAAGGTACGAAAAGGTCAGCCTAAGAAAACAGTCGTTTATTACTACGAAACCGCCGAAGAAACTCAAGCGAGGGAAAACAACGGTTTTCACAAAGTTCCTAAAGATGAGTCAGGTTGTGGTAGAAATTACACGCATGACAAGCGGCATTACGCTAATGAACACAGTCGTTATCACAACCATGAAGCCTCTCAATCTCCTGGGACGTCAAGTGACAATTTCTATTCATCTAGTGGTGGCAAACAAACTGGGTCATTTGCAATGCAGAACAGCCGCGAATCACTCGACCAAGAAAAAGCGGCCTCGAAAGGTACACAAAAGAACAATGACGTGTTAGACAAGAATGCAGGATTGGAAAATGTCATGATAGTGGAATATCACTCGATGAGCAGGAATCAAGACAAAAGATATCGTGCCAACGAGCACAAATCTACAGAACCCGTAACGCAACAGACATCACGGGGTTATTATTTACCATCTCGTAGTGTTCATACAACCTCTTACAGACCAGTTACCACTAATGTGACAACTTCAGTTCCTGCAAAGATTCAACCGCCTCAAAGTGCTTCGGTTCCTGCCGTCAAACAAGAATCAGAAACAAAGGTTGTCTATGTGCCTGTCTTTCCTGTATCGCGAGGTCCTAATGGCGTCATTTATGAAGCCATTCCAAATGCTACTCCTATTATGGCTAAAGATACAGTACAAGTACAACCAAGCCAGCCAGAACCACAACAAGCGCAACAGCCACCCCGACTGGAACCACCAAGAGCAATACCGCAGCAGCCACACCGACCAGAACCACCAAGAGCAATACCGCAGCAGCAAATAGTCCAACCAGGACAGGAGGTTATTGTGCGACCTGTGATGCCCAGCCCACCTGCACCTCAGAATGAACCGAGGATGGAGTACAGGGCATATGAACCACATATGCCACAACAACTTACTGCAACCCCTGCACCTGGGCACCAATCGTTTCAGCCACACCATCAAGGCCACGTCATGGTGCAGCAGCAAACAGCTCCACCCTACCCATCACATACCACCACAGTTGTTCAAGTTCCTCAGTATCAGGCAAGCAGACCACATTATAAACAGCAGTACCAACCAAGAGCAGAACATCCACAGACCTCTCACGCTGCAACAGTCCCACAGCCACACAATTATCGACCTAAGCATCAAACAGTATCAGCATCTCAGCCTCCAAACACAAGGGGTTCAGAGCCAGTACAGCACTACCAACATGCAAGACCAGCTGTCCCTGTATCCCAAACTTACCATGAAGTTCCAGTTCATCAGTATACGGCACAACAGAGCCAACTACAGCATCACAACTACCAAAGAGAAGAGATAACGGTCCAACGTTATCCTTCTCCTGTAAACGTAGTAGTATCAGCTCCACAAAATATGTATCCAGATAGAGTCGCCCAACCAAGACCACCTCCTCTTCCATCGCAGCCTCAACATGTAGAGAAACCAGCCCTTCCTTCACCATCATATCCACAAGAGAGTGCCAACAGGCAGCTTACTCCTCGCTACACACCTGATGGTGTCAACCATAGACACAAGTTTGTCTACGCTCCTCCGCCTGCTGACTTCATGAACAGTCCTGTCTACAGAGTACCAAAAAACGAGGAAAAGAGCAGAAATGAGGCGTACTATAATGGGAAAGTTGGTAACAAGAGTGGATCCAAAAAGCGCAAATCTTCCTTGCCATCTCATGCTGTTATGCCGAGAAAGATAGACGAACACCAAGAGATCCCAAGCCCTGTGGAGAGCAACTCCAGAACACCAAGCCCAAAAGAAACAGATTTGAGATGCAACGAAAGGCTTGTCAAGTCACCTAATCGACCCTCTACGCTAAACAAATCAAGCCTTGTCATCACTCCTCCAGTGTCGCCCACAGAGGGAGAGGAAGAGAATATTGAAACCGTTACAGTTGTTGTGCGCGATCAAGGAATCCAAGCCAGTCCAAAAGATGGACGCTCACTTGAACATACATGTTACAAAAGACCGATTAAACATATGCGCAGCGGTAGCTACCACTCTGAAAGTTCAGAAGAGGAGTTTCTAGAGGACGATAATTGTAACATGAAAGACACTCGCAAAATGAAAGCTGAGCATCATTTGAGGAGCCAGTCAGATGAAGAAGAAGATGAAGATCATGGTACGTATACAGCAGATGGTACTCTGGTCGTACGTATTCCATACTCAGAAACCAACAACCTCAAAAAACAACATCGAGCAAAAAGGGGGAACTATAGATTTGTTTGCAGGTATTGCAACAAAGGATTCCAGTGGCATTCTCATCTAGAATCTCATGAGCGCACGCATACCGGAGAAAAGCCCTTTAAGTGTCCTGAATGTGATCGCGCATTCTGTAGAGCTGATGGCTTACAGTGTCATATGCTGGTTCACAACAAAAAGAGACCCTACAAGTGTCCTTATTGCGGCAAGGGATTCAACGACAAGATAATTTTGGAAAAGCATATTTATTCACATACTGGAGTAAAGCCATTCAAGTGCGAGTACTGTGGACGTGCTTTCAGTGATTCTCTTTCTATTGAAAAACACTTATTGGTTCACACTGGTAGCAAGCCATACAAATGCCCGTACTGTGTGCGCTCGTTCAACGATTCTCAAATGTTAGTCAGACACATCCGAAGCCATACCGGCGAGAAACCATTCAAGTGTAAACACTGTCCAATGGCATTCAGCAAACAAAGTGCCCTTATTATTCATACAAGAGTCCATACAGGGGAAAAGCCATATCAGTGCCCTCACTGTATCAAGTCATTCTCAATCTCTGGGAACCTACAAAGGCATATTCTAATTCACACAGGCGAAAGACCCTACAAATGCAGCAAGTGTCCAAAGGCTTTCAACAATCCAAGTCATTTATCAAGACACATTAGCAAGCTTCATGCTCCTCAGCTTGAAAACGCCAAGGAACAAATAAAATACGAACAATTTCAACCTGAACAACCATATCATTCACCTCCAGAAGTGGTATAAGAACTATTTTTATTCACAGAATTTATTTTTTTGTTAGCTAGTCTGATGTTTATATTAGTCTAATTTGATTACTTCACAAAGCCAATGCATAATTATTTTTTTGCTCTAATAACTTTTTTAGGAGACCACAGAATAATATACGGTTGAACTTAAACCGAAATGGTTAATTAGCTTATAGTTTCCATAAAATGTATACTCAATATATATATATATTTCGAAAGTTTGCCATAAATACAAGACCAGTGTCTTTCCTCGTGTAGTGGACTGCAAAGTCAATAGATTAAGATTTCCCGCCTTTTTTACGGTTATTATCATGTTAAGTAACACCTGCAGTGCCAAAACGTGGCTTGCAGTTCTGTTTTAATGTCCTGTGGTTTGTTGGCTGTTAAAAAATCACCTCAAAACTTGAGATTATCTTACAATGTAAGTTGAAAGTGGTAGTATGCATGTGTACAGTAATGGTATACATAATATTTAGAAATATTTATGACAAGGATAGTAATTATTCACTTAAATATACGCCTCTTGCAGATAGTATTGATTGTTTTAGGTATCAGAAAACTAAGAAAACCTAAACTTGAGTAAATTAAGTTCATATATAACATATGAACACTTATTTCTAGTGGTAATCACTTTATGGTGGCGATTCGTTGTACCAAAAAATATTATAAAGATGCTAATGTATATTTGAAAACTAATCATGTTAATAGTGTTTCATGCTAGCATCATGCAGTAGTTCTATATTTATATTAAAGACACTGGGTTTAAGTTTGTACATATTTTACTGATATATCCAGATCGTTGAAGTTAGGTAAGCATATTGGAAGAGTTCACTTAAGTACTCAGTCTATTCCATATTATTTTGAATAAATTGTCTGATCAAGTTTGCAGAGATTTGTTTTGCTGTATTTCTTTTTAACTCATTTTTTGTTTAACCCAAATGTATTTTCTGCGATCCAGTAGCCACGCTTGTAGATATGATATTTGATATTTCAGCTTTTTTTTGTTCTCAAAAAAATAAAATAAATAAAAGATATCTGGTTACGGATGGATGATTTTTTTGGGAATGCCAGAGTCAATGTTGCTATAAAGGATACTTATTGAGTGACGCAAGGCAAGAATCCAGGAGATCCGCAAGAAAACATACAGCGTTTTTAATCTTTTACACCAATTGGTGATAAATACAAAAACCGCATATTTAGCAATAATACCGGCAGAAGCTACTAATGATGTTTTGACGTTAATTTACACAAATACAAATCAATGATGTAAATCAAATTTATTCTTATAGGAGAAGAATTCCATTGACATGATGACAAAATTACTTCGAAAAAAAGTGTTGCATTTGTACGACATATATTCAGGATCTTTTTAAAAAGTTTTCGATGCATAGTCAGTGCCTTGTAGCTTTTGAAGTTTCAGTAAATTGGAACAATGCTTGTCAAAAATGGCGGGAAACTCGATCTTTGTTTTGTTGTAGATCGAGTTCGGAAGGTCATGAGGATTTGTTAGTCTCTCAACCGAACTTTTCAAGATAATGTTGCTTCTGTATCTTCAAGCTTTTGGACCCGCGTTTATCTTTCAAAAGACTTTTCGTGGGAGAGAAATTTGAATATAAAACGAGAGTTTTATTACCTTACCCTGGGGTCCAGAGGTTATTTATTTTCGCTTTGGCGTTTGCTGTTTTGAAGGGAAGTCGCCTTCTTGGCGCTCGCTAGTTACAACGGCAAGCGAAATAGAACCTCTCGAGCCCGGGGTATTATTACTTGGAGTATGGACCTAATCTGAGTTAATCCAGTGTGCTGCTCTTATGAATCAAATTGCAGTTTTCAATAAGTTTTATCAGGTATTGAAAAATAATTACCATACCTGAAAAAGAGGCGTTAAAATTAGTAAAACGAAGTTTGAAGGATGATAAAATAGAATAAAGATGATAAAATAAAAATAAAAAATAAATAAGTTTAAAATTTTACGGACTTCAACGACGAGTGCTTTTATACAAAATATCAATTTTAATCAAATGTACTTCCTTCAAACTTCACAGTTTTACTAATCAGTTTTAGCATGCTCTTTCCAGCTATAGTGATTATTTCTATGTCCTGAGAATTTTGGAATTATATGATGAGCGTAAATGAAAGTCAGCCTTGGATTTCCCGCCAAAACAAGATGAATTGGCACAAGTACCATTGATCAGAATCAACACTTCACAACAAAAAGAAAACGTGGACGGAGCAATAAACAATAAAACCCACTTTAAGCACAGAATAAAGCATAGTTATAAGAGCACGTAGTCTTTATTGAGAGAGGGGAGGGTAATAATTTAAACTTTTTGAACGGGTCACACCTGTTTATTTTGTCGAGAGCCTAGTTACTCCCGCCTTAGGCGCCCGTTAAAGCAATTTGGTCTGGCTACGGCTATCAATTTTTTTCAAGAGTCATCAATTTCTTACTGTGACAGGGGGAGGGCTACAACCAATTAAAAAAAAAAACGTTTACTGTGAATTCCCACCCCCCTCCCCCCCTAACAAAAAACGTACCTTCCGCTGTTGGTAATTATTCTTGATAATTCTTTTCTTTTCTTTCTTTTATCTTGTTCAGCTGTACTAGGATTACAAATATCCTCACAAACTGTAGAATTGTCTATAGTTTTTAAGAATTCAGAAAACAGTATAAGTAATTATATCCTTTATGATCCAGTAAGAGCATTTTTTATAGACTTCCCGTATTTTTTTCGTATTTTTTAAGTATTTTTTAATTCGAAAAGGTTAAACTTAAGGTTAATATGCGACTCGATGGAGGTCGCAAATGGTTGCAAAAATGACGACAAGTCATAATTCAAGACAGTCTATAAAATAAGACATGAACTCTTTCAATGATGCTGCTTGGACTTAGTAAAGAAAAATTATCGTCTATTTCCGCCAAAATTTACTTGAAATTGAATCAGCGTACCTCCTTGGATTGAGTTTTGCTTGTTTACGGAGAGAGGAGCAGCTAAAAGATTGGGGACGAGAGAGAAAAATGGAAAAAAAGATAGGGAGGAAAAATATTTAAATGCTCGTTCAAACTTCTTCTCTGATAAGCACACTTATAACAGTTGATTTCTCGCCATCTTGATTGTAGCCAAAGTCATTATGTGACGACACAATCTTGTCACTGAATAAGCACGCAATAGTTTTGTTTCTTTGAAATTAGCACCAACTGCATGGATGTAATTAAGCTTTTAGAATTCGAACCACCTTGGATTTCCCGCCAARATTTCGATTTACGTCAGCGCGCACAGATAAGCACACATTGCTTTTGAAGCTACTAATCCTGAATAGAAGAACACCTTGAATTTTCCACCATGTCTTAACGATTTACAAATAATRATTTAGGTACTCCAAAGAGAAACACAATAGATGGGTAACACCTTGAATTTCCCGCCAGATTTACAAAGACACATAGGATCAGCACCTTTGTTACAGGGAACCATTTGGATTTCCCGCCGAATTTGCAAACTATCATGAATAAGAGCACATGGGATAATAATCTTTGAATGCTTTCTATTGAATGAGGATCAAACTATCTTGGATTTACCGCCAAAATACGAGATGATGAATAGCACTCACATTTGGCGTATTAATTTCAAAGAACTCTGATTGTTCAAAAATAATAAAAAAATCGTTTGGTTTTGTTAAAGCTGCGGTTCAGTATCAAGAATGCAGTTAGCTTGCTATTTCAAAAAGGCCCTCGCCTACCGTGAATAGTGCAGAGCGCATTAACAACTTGATAGTGCGAGTCTAGTCAAAGTATAAAAGAAAATAACTCTATTATATAGCTCATCTTTATATATATCAAACATGCTCGGTTACTCACGTATGAGTATATGCCGAGTTTGTTGCGTAACAGTTTTTGGTTTTAAAAAGACCGTCTATAATTCAATACCGCGATGACTGCAATATTCAGTATTTACGAAGAAATCCTTTTTTTTTTGTAAAAATAGCTTTATTTTGTGGTTCAACATAAGTCTTGTATTTCCTGCCTTCTTTTGTTTCTTTCAGAGAGGGATCGACTCTACGAGCCATCTGCAAACCAAAGTAAAGAAAACCCTTTCATGACCATTAGCCTGTAACAGGTAATAAAAAGGTTTTCTTTGATCATAAATACAAAGAGGACAACTCAAGAAAAACAAACATAACAATGAACAAAAAGCTATTATTGAGTCCACAGGCCGACTACACGCGTCACTTGTTTTACAAGGTCATTTCTGAATATCGGTCACTCACGCGCCAAAACTTAAAAAGTGCAAATGTATCTCAAATCATTTACAGCAACGGCCGCAATAACGTTGGAATTGTGCTATGATGCATTTGAGTATTTCAAAGCGAGAAAAATAAGATATGAATTAGGGGGGAAACTCAATTTACGGGTTTTCCTACAGTGTTACAAGTTTTGTTATTATGCGGTAATTATAATCTACCTCAAGTGTTGTTTGATAATAGTGTGAACAAAAATTGTCTTATTTCATAGCTGATTTGAAGATTCAGCTTTTGGCTGTAATTAAAAAGCATTTCAGCGAGAACTACTGCGAGAAATACGAGAACTACTGCGAAGAAACAATTGCTAGCTTATCAATATCRAGTGCGCATTGCGCACTTTAGGTGCCATAATTCAACCAAAGATCAGGTTACAAAAGCAAATATATCTGAATCTTATAAATCTATTTTTTTTATATTGTCTGTATTCCTGTTTGACTCGATATTTTTCTAGTTTATGCGGCTCTCTCTTTACTCAAGGGATTGATTCGATTACTTGGATTTCCCGCCAAATTAGAAAAATAACAAAAGCCCATTGTGTGTAGACCGTCCACGAAAGAAAGTCCACGTGGAATGATTGTACAACGATTATCCATAAGTTTCTTACGAGGATTTTACATATCCTTTATCCTGATTTGGAAGCTTTTTTACYAATAATAAAAAGAGTTTTATAACTTCTTAAACATCATTTAAATTTATTAAGTTTTATCGTTCTAAGTCAACCATCTGAATTTTAAGAAAACGGGGCAAGTGAAAAAAATGTTTTAGGAAAGCTTTACCATTCTTGCTTAAGTGAGCCTATTGAAATAAATTCTCTTCTCTATGCATCACAAAGGGTAAAACACAACTTGAATATCGAGAAAACAAAAGAGCCTTTGAATTCGGCTTTATTTGCACCACTGACTTTCAGTCTTAATTGAATTGCAATTGCGCGCCAAAACTTATTTATTGCTAATTTATTATTTTGTCTTGAGACATCGATTCAGTCGAATTTCCTCTCCTTTTGCACTGTTTCTGCTTAATATGTTTAAAGTTTGGGAATTTGGTTTAATCCCCGGCTGATAATAGAAAAAAGATTGAGTTCAAGTTTTGGGTTTTCTGACCTAAATTTTCTATCCGCTACAAAAGATTCTGAGTTATTCAAGTACGTGAAGCCCTGATTTTCCAGGTTTACTTAGCCGATGGACAGGGTGAATATCGATAAAACGACCCTAAATATTTCTCCAGATGCTAGTGACAAAAGTATTCTCAATACCCTATAAAATTAACTAATCATTAGGTCGGCCATAATCCTGACTCTTAACCTGGATTAGATGAATAAGCACTATTAGGAGTCAGTAAACTTGAAGATGAATTCAATAACTTTTGGCGCCAATGATATCAAGGCAAATTAGTTTACATAATTTAGGTTTCATGCACTGATGCTCATTCGAAACTTGTCTCACATTAAAAAAAAAAGAAAAAGAAAAAAACTCATGCAGTTAGAAAAACTTATGAAGATATAGAATATAGATAAGTTATAGTGCTTGGGAACGAGGTTATTCCGGGCGAAAGCCCTTGGAATTAAATTCGGAAAAATTAATTTCCGACCTCGCTGGGTATCGAACCCACGATCGTGGTGCTACGCGGTCCACATATCCTCATCATTAGAGAAACTTAGTAAAAATTTATGATAAATTTATGATAAATCGAGTTAGTGTGACAGACTTTAAGAACTTCTGCGAAGGAGGCTAGGTTTCGAGAAATTTTTATGGAATCTTTCTTTGGAAGGTTTTGATGGAGATACCTGATTATATAATTTTTTTTCGCTGGACCGTGTTACGACTAGAGCATTTATCATGTAATGTATAATATACCGGTTGATAACTTATATGATCTTCTGGTCAGTGTTGAGAGGCTTTGAATATGAAATAGAAATGATGCTCTCCTTCTCTTGGACTGAATGCATCTTTTCCAATGTAGTTGCAGACTCAACGATGGAGGCGAAGTCTGCATGACAATGTAACGACAAGCAACGATAAACTTCCTACAGTTTCCCCCGGCCTTTCTTCAATGGACGTCTTCAATAATAAGAATCCGACGCATTTATATCAGGCCAACAATGAATAAAACAGGGCTGAAGTAGGTTGAGCAAACCAATTTCAGAAAAAGGGATAAATAGGGGAAAAAAGCGCGCTACCCGTACGCCACCCTTGATTTTTTCCCGCGCATAGTTGCCATAGTACCGTGACAACAATTCTCAGTTAGTTTTAAATTGGGTTCAGTATTTACACCGATAGCATCATCAACAAACATGCCAGAGTCTTGTCTTCCTGTTTCTAAGGAATTTACATGCATTCCAGAGGAAGGTAAGCAAACAAACTTAACAAGCAGATCCAAAATAGATTTTCAAGAGCAAACAAGGGAAGACGAGTAAATCCTTTCATAAATGAATTCTTGGCTTGAGAGGCTGTCATTCAAGATATCGTTCGTTCTTCCTGGGAGATCAACGAGAAACAGATAAACTGACTTAAGATATTCGTAGTCCATCAGAATATGAATCTTGGTATTTTTAAATTGCAATGATCCCTTTTTTGGTACTTTCGCAATTAATTTTGTGTAACATACTCCTAAGGGCATAAGATCCCGGGGGTGGGTGGGGTTGGGGAAGAGGGCAGTATATGCAAGAACTGGGGCAAGAACCACAATAATGTATTTTTTTTTCGTTTTAAGAGAGGGAAGGAAGGAGAAGGTAAGGTCCGGATAAGAGATCGTCAGCCTTTAAATACAAATAACTTTATTTGACAATAGAATAATCTAAATGATATCAGATGACAAATTGCAAATCTGAGGGAGTAAAAAGAAAGGCAGTGTCAAGATACCCTGTACCCGAGAACCAATTTCAAAATACTATATACCCGGGAGTTTTTGATTTTTGAAAAAAATCGTCAAATAAACACATCTTTACCCATTGAAAGTATTCTCACTTTAATTAGAATAGTCAAGCGCTTCTGTTAACTATAAAAGATCTATATTTTCGCTTTTGCTGTTTTCTCAATATATAATTTTCGAGTTGCCTGGCATCAGTACTTTATAAAAAAAATATTGGTTGGCAACCCATAATTTCTTCTGCGAGTAATGTATATATGTGCATAAAGTAAGAATACTTTTTTTTCAACAACTTCTTCATGCTCCCCCTCGTCATAGTTAAATGAACATTCCCTAAATATAGTACGTTTTATTCAAGGCATTTCGTTGTAAACTTACAATTGATTTTCCTCCTTTTTAAAAAAAATTCAAGGGAATTATTCTTTACCCTGTATAAAATAGTCATTAACTTGAAAAAAATGCCAACACTTATTATATCTATAGAAAACTATATAAATATGCTTTGATGAGAAATCCGTCATAAAATTTACGGAGATTAAGAGACAAGGGCGCTGTTCATTAGGCTAAACTGATGATTCTGTTTGCAACATCACAAATAGAATTCGGTCTGAATGTAAATGCAAAGAAGAGCAAAGTAAAAATCTATCACAAAAAAATCCAATAACACACTCACCATCACTCTTTGGGAAAAACCGTATTAGAAAATGTCAATGAGTTTTTGGAAGTACTGTCACTACAAATGGCGAACTTACCCAAGAGATTAGTAAAGCTGCTGGTGCATCATAAGCAAAATTCAACCATTAAAAGAGCATAGATTGATTAAGTTAACTACAACGGTGAAGCGAAATTTCCAAGCAGTTGTCACCAATAAACACCCTACTATATGGATACGCAGAAGCATGGAACACAATAATAGAAAAAAGTTGTCAAAGCTTTTTAAAAAAGGCGCTATGTGGTAGCCTGCGTAACAGACAGGGCATCTAGCCATGACAACAAAAGAAGGGAAGAAAGTTTCTCAAAATTAATAGAACGAATGTGAACCATATATTTGAGAACTGGCTGCCTGGTTGGTCTAGTCGGTTCAACTTGATGGAAAAGGCCCTAAGACTGACTTCAAACAATCATCTACCCCATCTACAAACAAAACCACGCACCAAAAGCTAACATATCTAGTGGCACATCCCTGCATAGCTTCATTACACTTGATGTGTCAGTACCCCCAGGCAAATAGTATCTATAATTTCAAAGATGTGTTGCTATCATGAAACAAATTCTGTTTCCTAAGAAAAAAACATTCCAAGCTCCAGGCAGAAACCAAGAATTTTTTCCCGAGAAAAATTTCCTTCTCCACAATTAAAATGTTTACTATTTTTCCAAGCAACAAAACAACGTAATATAATTATCTCTAATTTTATTTATTTTTATTATTCAATTTAGAATAACTGTGTACAGTACCTCCAAAATAGACGTAACTGCCTGGTTTTTACATTCTATTTTCACTGAACTTTGATGACTTTGAATATTTATAAATATTTATTTTAGTTTTATCTTATTATTGTTATCATTAATTATTTACTATATTATTATTTATTTAGTGCATTTGTTATATGACACACAAGACACCCTACAGGGCTCAAAAAAAGATGGCCGCTTTCACTCTTAAAATTATCCGGCTGCAATACACAACTAGCAGTGTAATAGATATTGACGAAGTACCAGGTTTTCTCTAGTGTCGAAAACTTGATGTCTTTCACCAGTGGAATATACCATATCTTTCACAAGTGAAGATATCGCTGTTGAATTGGCTTGCTATTTCAATGAAGAATTTTTGGCTTTTGTTTTATTTAAGTTTTATCGATATCTATATGATAAACAGAACATTACATGGCCGCTTGGAGATACGAATTTTATCTTCTCGTATTCAATTTAGATATCTCACTCTTTTGCTGCGCTCACTCGAAGATAAAATTTGTATCTTCGCGCACCCATGTAATATCCTCTATATATTTTATCTCCAAGCTATGCAATTCACATGCAATCTTGGCTGTAACGTAATTTGTAAATAAACCATTTATCTATACATATCTAAAAAAATTAAATCATTGCAATCTAAAGCAATATTGGTTCTTGATGAAATTGATTGCTATTTTAAGCTTGGTTGGGATTGCTTGCGCCATAAATAGTTAAGAGTCCAAAATTCACTGATTCTACACTTGATGTCATTCATTTACTTTGTGTTATAACATTAGTCCTCAAAATGTTTGGACTTTTTCATCAGATGGCTGAATATAAARATGCATTGCATTTTAATTACATTTTTGATTTCTTTCTCCTAAAAAATAGCAAGCTTATATTTAGACCAAAACAAGTTATATTAGTAGAGACTTTATTGCACCATCAGGTGATGGTAGCCATATATGACAGGAGGCAGGAACAATTGAATCTGGTTTAATCTTATTTACACAAGAAAGAATTCAGTTTTCCYGGAGAAAAAGACTATTTTTGTGCCTCCTGTCATGGCTGCCATCACATAATGGTGCAAATTGAAGCCTCAATCTATAAACACACCAAGTTGAAAATTTCTTGAAGTGTCAGTGCGTTTGTACAGCAATACTCATGATAATATTCAAACAATTTGATGACTGTAATGCATTGTAAACCATGAAATGGCTTGTGTTGAATCATCAAAATACTTTAGATATTTTCAGACAACTGGCATGTGCACCCATATGCATGCATGAGCACTATTGCAATGTTTGGGCTGCAATAATTTGAAATTTATTTTTTCTAAAGGCCAACAATTTAGAAATCATTTATTAATATAGTATGTATTCCTATGGCTATTGCAATTTTCTTTCAGTTTCCCTGATGAGCCTGGACTCTGCATGGGACAGATTTCCAGTTGGCCAGTGATAGGGAGTACTTACTTCCCAGGGTTTAGAACCTGTCTCATGGCCAAAATTGTCACATGGTGTTGGGCTGGCCATCTTGCCAATGATAGATGAGTATGTACTGTATCTTGAGAATAAGATTCTTAATGCTTGAGTTGTATACATATTTATGTGTCTACTCATAAGCAACCACTATAAACAAGGAAATGACACTTTAGGAAATAACAAGCCTGATATGGGAAAACATGAATACATCCAAGTAAGATATCGTCTATTGAGCTTGAACACAATGAACTAAGGTTTCCATGGATGTAAAACAACCCGTTTACTGATGCAACTCAAATCTGATTTCGATGTAATTATGTAGAATTCTATTCTTCTTCTTTTTCTTCTTTTTCTTTGCCAGCATCATCTGTAACTTCTAATGGGGTGACTCTAAACACCTCTAGCACAAGAGGCCTTACGAAGCGCTTCTGTTTTTCCAGTTCCCCTTTCAATCTCTTCAAATCATTTGGAATATTTACTATCTTGCCACTGAGGACCATATCTTGTTTGGCTTTTAGTGTGGCATCAAGCTTTTTGACTTTGACAGGTATGCGTGCAATCAGATTTAGTGCATGGAACTTCCCTTTCACCCTACGCCATGATGGCAACAGCAACAACTTTGCAATCTTAATGATCTCTCCACCCAYGTTTGCTGTTGTAGTTAAGTTGAGATCAATGATTTGATGATAATGAACTCTTACAGACACTCTTGGACTAAATATAGACAGCTGATAAATAGAAGGGAACCTTGATTGATTCAGGCAGTGCTCTACACAACTGTCTCTTAGGAATTTCTCTGCAGTTGTTTGTAAGCTATGTTTTGTGCCAAGGTCTTCATTTTTCAAATAAACAGGAGAGCACAAATAAACTTGGATGGAAGGACACAGAAGTACAGCCACAGCAACAGGTAGGACTACCTTTAACATCATCCCTCTCAGCCTTGTGGAATATATAGCTATCAGTGTTGGAAAAACTATTGGAATAGAGATCAAAAGTCCATTGGCTATGTTACCAAACACACCACCGACGTTGTTGAGAACATCTCCAGCAACACTTATTATCCAAGCAAGAGAAGGAAAGATAAATAGAGCAAGAAAAAGGTAGTTTTTCAAGTTAGAATCTGAACTTTCCTTGGGCTTCTTATCGGAGTTGTTCTGCCCTTCCCTGCTTTTCTTGGCCATTCTCTTCCACGAATTTTTTCTTTGGTTGTAGATGGATTCAAGGTCACAAATCAAAGGAGTTTTCCTAAAGTTTATCGTTTCCAAGAGCTTCCGATCACGATCTAAACAATCTATCCTTATGAACTCAGGTGTAGCAGCTGTTCACTACGTGGCTTTTACGAAGTGAACAACAAGTATTTCTAGGGAGTGGAGGGGAATTGCACATAACATTCAAGACATTCGAAAACCCCAAAAAAGGACAGTCATTTACTCTTGTTATATGCTTTAATCATATGCAATACTTTAAACCTTGCAATAGTAGTACTGAATGTTTTCCCTCTTCCCATTTTCACCTTTTATATGCGAATATTTATATGCGAATATTTATATTTCCAGCCCCTCCCCCTAAGTAGGGCAAACAGGAAGTCAAAAGACTGGTGAAAAGACTGGTAGCTATTCGATTCTTGCCAATAAGTTATCGATTGGACATCGAGTGATTATCGATCGCATGGAGACAAAAAAGGCGCGAAGTGCAAATTCGACGGATAAACATGGCGACTTTGGTCGAAAAGACTTTAGAAGCTTGCAATCTGTTAAATTTAAGAGAGATTCCCAAACAGTGGTCTGATCAAGCATGGGAGAATGATTTCTGTGATTTTGAAGGACTACCTGATGTGTTGGAAGGGAATGTTGAGGCAAATCAATACTATAGAAGAGGGCTTTGCAAGTTACTGGCTTGTTGTCGAACATGGTCCACTACAACACAAGACAGCACTGTACAAGGTACTGTAGGTATCTGAGAATCTTTAAACAGATCATATTACATTGATATCGTTTTTAGATATATTTCAAGGATTATTGGGAATTTCTTAACTCAAATATAACTTGGGTAAAAAATTTTAAAGCTTTTATTGGAAAATTAACCCGAAATACTGTAACCTAGTAAAATTTGAACGTTTCCATACCAGCCATAGACTTTTCCCGTAAACTCATCGCTATATAGCTGAGGAAACTTCTACTTACACTTATTTAACTGCTGTTATTGAAAATAGTGTTCTAAGCGGACGTGTTGGGAGAAGGGTACTATCGTCGTGTACGGGCTAGTGCAGTTTTCGTATGACTGTGGAAAGCTCAGTGCCGTAGGCTTGACGTGCCGTGACCGTGATACTTTCTAGAATTTTAATTGGATGATTTTTTTCACGCGCAATATGATTGGTCTAAAAGTGCCGTGATCTTGGCCTGACCGTGTCTGCGCCGTGTTTATGCTGTGTTTAGGGTATTTGATTGGATGGAGAGTAAATTCTCGTGCAATATAATTTGTCTGGCGTATCCCTTGCTGTGTCAGGATCGTGTTCGTGCCGTGAACTTTTCACAGTCATACGAAAACTGCACTAAGGAAGTATGTCATAGGTTTCCACGAACACACAAGTGGGACTTGAAGACACCAAGAATCGAACTCGGTGCCAAAGAACTACTACAATGCCAACCTAACCCTAAACCTAACCACTAGACTATGAAGCAAATTGGCTTGGTGGTCTCATTTTTTATTCATATTTAAACGATGTATCATCAAAATGTGCACATAAATATTTATTATAGCTTAATTTATGCTATCGTAGGGTGCAACTACTAGCTGACTACTCGAAATTTGAATTTGAATAGAATTCCCCTGACAATTCCAGTACATGACAATATAACCGGGAGGAGAGGCTACATATTGTTCTGTCATCCCCCCTTTTCATTCTTATACATACGAGTCTACTATGTTTTCAAATCTAAGCACCACCCACCCCAGATACCCGGTCTCAAGGTCGCTCAGCAATCCTTGCAAGGTAGTTTAGAAGGTTGTGTGCACCTACTCTTGTAAATAAATTGACTTTCTTTTGTAAGTGAAATTTTTCTAGTTTGATTATATGTAATATTTTTAATATTTGGTCAGTTCACAGTAATATGGTGTCTCCCCACTATCACCAGGGCTTAAAAGAACGGCCCAACATTGGACATACAGCCTGTAATGTCCAGCCAGGACTGGGTCTTGTCCAGTCAAATCTTTGCCTTGCTGGTCATTTTGACCAATAATGTTTCGCCAGAATATAATGTATGACTAAGTTAAAACTAATTTGGTCTGTGATCATGGCTGATGTCTGATTGGACATTGTTTAAAGCATTCTTGTGCTGATTTACTGAATTCAAATTTTAGGATTTTGGAATGTTTTGTCTGATAACGATGTATCTCTCAATAATTTGATTGCTGTCATCCATGCTATGGTGATGACTTGTAAAAGGTCAACCAAGCCAGGCCCTAAGGTAGAGAGTGGTGTCCTCTCTGCTAATATCTATTTAGTGCTTCTACAGATACCAGGTGAGTACCTTAAACAAAATTAATCAGGCTTTACACTTTAAACTAAGCTGCATCACCACACTAGAGTCTCCTGGGAACTTTTGTTACAGGGATAATTCTGAGTACTGGGTCCTGGAATATCAATCATCATAATCAGGGCACAAAATCAACTCTCACAAACTCACAAAATGCAAGTAAAATTTTAGTATTTAGTAAGAAAAAAATTAACCTGCTTAGTTTTGCAAGCATGACCACAGTCCAGAAATTGAAGGACTGAAAAGCTCAGGACTCGCATAAATTAATGTTTGTTATTTGCAGCGATCGATCACTTTTAAGTGACTTTTAAGTTTTTGCTAGTGAAAACAAAATTTACTAGCAAGGTTTTGCTTGGGGGTTTCAAAGTTAATTTCATGCGCTGTCAATGGCGGTATGAACCCTGCATAATTAATTTCTAAGAACTAAGATGAGAAGTATTGAGTAGTAATTTTCTTTGATTTGTGTTGTATTTAATCTTTTTTTAGGCAGTGGTGCTTACAGAGTATTTCATTCTTTGTTATTTCAAAAGTGCATTGATGTTCTCAAACACTGGCCAGTAAAAGGTTAACTGACTGTATAAACATTTGATTATAAAGTAATTTATTATAAAATAAATAATAAGATCTAAAACCTGGGATCTTAACATGTTATGTGACTACATTTCCTTCGCTCACAATATATGTGGTATACATACAATAAGTATATACACGAAATTGAAAATCTAGCTGAAGGTTCTACTAAAGGGTAGTCAATATCCTGGGCATTTGGAGAGTGCTTGATATACAGACACATTCATGAAGAGTGACAAAATGCTTTGCTTGGTAACTTGAATCAATATTCAATAGCTGCGGGGGGGGGGGGGTGGACATTCGTTTGAACCATCGAACCATCCCTATCAATGGGCATGTTCATTTGTACACATGTACAGTGCTTATTAATTACATTTCACTCCTTAAATAATAGAATAATTTCTAAACTCATACCAGTATTTATTTAATAGGAAGTGCAAAAAGAAAAAGGTCCAAAGCACCCAAGAACAATGAACAGCAATCTATAGGCAATGGGCGCAGGGCTAAGTCACAGCGCATGGCACAAGCAACACACCCCCAAGGTTCAGTGAATAATTAAAGTTAAAAATTGGATTTAAATCAGTCTGTGTTTTTTAATAATATTCACTAAATACAGGTAACTGTTTTTGATATTCAGATTCAGATATTCATAAACAGCACTTTAGCAGCCAGGCTGCTAAAAAATTAGGGGTCTATGTTTTACTTTTTGGCATCCTTTAGAAAAATCCATAAAAATAAACCTAGACACTTTTCAAAACTGTAATCGAAAATATGAAATGTACCAAAAAAAAACTTGGCTAATCACTGACGCAAAGTACATCAGTACGGCAGCTCAATGGGGTTAAAGTGAAAGCATGTGAAGGCGCCTCTGGCAGCTGCTATACAGTCCATGTATGACCATGGAGCATAGCTCTAACAAGAATTAGCATAAACTTTCTAGCATACTATCATGAATCCTGCAATCTGATTGGCTAACATACTCACTATCTATCCTGTGATAGATAGTGAGTAGCAAAAAAAGCTAAAAAACAAACAATATTAACTGACATGAAGCTTAATTTCAACATGGTTGGCTTTTGAATTAGTTGACAACAACTTGAAGAATTTGTGAATAAAACCGTTCATTTTAGCACTCATTAATCAAAAAACTGATCCCAAGAACTAATAAAAAGGTGGAAAATATTAGAAAGAGAGTTTTGACTGTAATATAAGAGGCATTAAGCTAAAGCTATAGAAATGAAAAAAAGTTTAAGGTCTTAAGTTAAGACATCAAGTTGAGATTGCAAAGATGAATGAAAACAAAGCCGCCGGTTGACCATTGTTTTTCAGTAAAGTTTTCAGTGTCATTCTTAGTTTTCAATACTATAGTATTAGCTAGTAGGTTTATGCTAAAACAATTAGACTACTTGTTCTCATTTTCTATGAGTCAAATAGTTGATTTGGCGCTATGTGCCTCATCGACTATCTATTGACTCATAGAAAACTCTACCTCGTAGTCTAATAGTTAATAGACGACTTTCATAACTCAGTTTCTTCAGATAGAGAAAATGAAGCCTTTTTACCAGAAACTATTAATGCTATCTGAGAAAATACTTCACGAAAACTATTTCCAGAAAATTTTGTAGAATTTGACTGCATACCAAAGAAGTTATGAAAGAACGAAAATAGAGAGTTTTGTATGTATTTATCACTGGAAGCCTTGGTGGCCTCGTTTTGGTGCATTTTCAAAACTTCAAATGCTCACATCTTGTAATGGATTCATTAATTTAAGTAGAAACTCACACACCTTATCTAAATCAACAAGATCAATGATTTAAAAGGGTTTTCACTCCAAAAACATTGATTTTTAATGTTTATGCAAATTAGCAGCAGCCAGTTATGAAAGTCGTGTATTAGTTGGGGTCAATTTGAGAGAAGGGAGGAAAAACCGGAGGTCAGGAAAAACCCTCAGAGTCAGAAAGTAAATCAACATACTCAGTTCACATGAGGCAACTTGGATATGAACCCTGAACCTCGGAGGTTAGAGACAAGCATTTTACCACCATGCCATCCTGACTCCCCAAGTTTTCCCCAGGTTCTGTACTTCTTAAGAGAAGGATCGGGAAACCTTTGACAATCTCATGACATTTTGTATTCTTTTAATCTCAGATAATAATGAGTCAGATGATCATGCAAGTGATGATGATGATGATGATGGTAGTGATGAAGATGACAACGAATATGGTGTAGCAGTCATATCCTCAGAAGCAGCCTCTGAAAATATTAAAGTGAAAATTATGGAACTTTTGCAGGTTCGTAAAAAAGTCCAAGTCAGTTGGAGCTAATATCAATCATTCAAGTAATTTCATTTTTTTAAACTTTATTCTCAACCTTCTCTTATAAAGAATTAATTATCCTTAAGCAAAGTAAGGTTTGGCTTAAAAAGTATACAAGTTGAGAGCAAAGGTACTGTAGTGTTGTGTGCCAGTCAGCGGCCACATCAGTTTGTGCATGTAAAACATTGGGCACCTTGTTGTTGGATATAAAGGATTTGAAGTAGACATATGAAATTGTGTGGTCTTCGTTCTTCTTGAATAAATGTTACTGCATTTTATAACAGTGAGTTTGCTATGATTTCTTTAATTTTCTTTCAGGATCTGGTTTTCTTGTTGAGCACCTATTCTGTGCGTCATTCAGAGCAGGCATGCCATGATATCATTCAGAGGCTAGTTGACATGACAAGGATTGATGCAAGTAGTGCATTGTCATCTGGCTTTGGTTTCTCTTCAAAGTGAGTTTCTTCTTATTACAATGTACAAAATAAATTATTGTGCTTACTATCCCAATCACAGACCGTTTTACTAATAAGTTATACTGTAGGTGCCCAGGGCTTAGCCCTTGAATTTTAAGTGGTTACCTCAGCGCGAACCCTGTTGTCAATTGTTGGTCATGATGACCAGCCAAATTAGTACAATCTTGACCATAATAATTCTTTTCTGGCTCAATGTTACAGGTCAAAAGGACCGGCAAGGCAAAGACTTCACTGGACAACTTCCAATTCTGTCCAGACATTGTCTGATGACCGGTCCTTATTTTGAGGCCTGGGTGCTTTGCCAGCATGACCATTATTGACATTTTTTTACTTGTATTCAACATTGCTCAAAACTTGCTATCATGACAAAGTAGGTTTTGTGGGACAACAATCCGAGATTCCATGACAGTTGTTGAGAAATACACACATAGTTAGCCATACATAAGCTTTATGGTGGATAACTTGTGACAGCCTAATGTGCGCATGGAATGGTACTGAATGTCTTGATTCATGTGCCTGTTTACATCTTTTTGCTTGTTGCCTCTAGCTTCAGTCTTTTTGCATTTTCATGAGCTATCCTTGGTTAAAAGTAATTCATTGATGTTTCATTCTAGGTCAGAACTTCAGAAAGTCAAGTCTGTTTCCCTGCTTGGTTACATGGTTAGTACTTAACACCCAAAGACCTTCCACCTCTGTGTTTGTAGTGTTCATCAATCAGAATACTATTTGATTGACATAAGCCAGACAACTGGAATTTAGACAATTAGCTAGCATCATAGCATCGTGTACTACTACATTTGACGGTAGTTTGTCAGCCATTTGTTGATCACACAACATGTCCACTGTCAGACAACTGTTAAAAGTCAAGTTGTTTTCTGTCAATTTTGACTTTCTTTATGATAATTTGCTGTAAGTAAAGAATATTTATCTTTTCCAGTCTGGTGTCCTAAAAATCCTACATTCTGATTGGCTGTGTGAGTGGGTGGTATTTTCTGTTAGGCACTATTATTACTTTTGTAGAAGCTGTGGGCAACAGCCAGTTTTTTGGTGAAGTAATGTTGGGTTATTGACCAACCCTGGATGACAGTTGATCGACAGGGCATCTAGGGTACTGTTCTTGGGTTTTACCAAAGAGAAGAAAGCAACTGTATCCTGTTGATTGTTGCTAACCAGTATATACACTGTACCTGTTGATTGTTGCTAATCAGTATATACGCTGTACCTGTTGATTGTTACTAACCAGTATATACACTGTACCTGTTGATTGTTACTAACCAGTGTAAACACTGTATCCTGTTGATTGTTACTAACCAGTGTAAACACTGTATCCTGTTGATTGTTACTAACCAGT